TGTACTATTCAGCATAGCCATTCCTTTCTAATGATATAATAGAAAGTCATTTTTTGAAATGAAATACCAAAAAATCCAATTATTATTCTTCAAATAACAAAACAGATTATCGCCATACGCAAAAATAAAATAAAAAATAATGTGGTATTTCATTTCAAAAAATGACTTTCTATTATATCATTAGATAGGAATGGCTATGCTGAATAGTACAGGCAAGAAAAAGTTGTATGTTCCTATTTAAGTTATGGACCTACAGAGTATAGTTTTTTTCCCAATTTTTCCAATATTTTTTTTGGCGGCTTCAGATAACGCCGAAGAATGAAAATAAAATATCACAGTAGTAGTAACTGTTATCGAGTGACGTATGGTTTGAATAGCCAACTTTTCAATTTTTGGCTTTCATTTTGCTTCCACGGCCTACTCGGTGAATTTCAATTATAATTTTTTTCTGATCTAGTTTCTGGTTAGATACCAACTTGTGATATGTCATTAGAAACGGAATTGAATGCTGAATAAAGCGAAGAGAAAAAAAAAGGGTTTCCATTTAAAATAAGAAAGTTGATGTTACTTCCGGTCAGACCGGAAGTTAACTTCGACATGTCAATATGCTCAAATTCTAGCTCTTATGTCATTATATCGACGCTCCAAATTTCACAAACCTACTTCATACAATAACTGAGATATTCCGTAGGCAATACTTCCGTAGCCACCCGGTATGTTGTCCATTTTCAGTAAGGATATGTTCAGTTAACTCTGATTTATCGATATGTATTTTTTAGATATTGTACTTGTTCTCTTTCGTCCTTACTGAGAGAGAGGTCTCTTCGTTCCACCTGTGCAATTGTGGCTACTCTGTTTATCTTGGATCTCATAGTTGACATTTTTTGATAACTACTGGCATGGTATATTTGCTCTCATATCAAAATCAATGTCGAATTCTTTCATTTTATATTGTTATTCACAATTTCACCTACAGCATCCATTTTATGACAGCCTAGTCTAATTTCCTTTTAGTTTGATTGACAACTGAACTCCTTGGCTAATTGATGAATAAAAATTTTGTTAATATGCTGAATAAACACTTCACTACTTCGCCACCGAAAATCAACCGGAGACTTACTTGCCCACGTCACCCATATTTATATGCCAAGCTTCATTAAAAAATCATGGCGAATCTGATACTTCATATTATCAACGATCTATTGGGAGCAACCACTTGTCCTATCCACAGCTTTGCAGACGAAATAACTCTTCATAGTGCGTTCTCTTCTAGAATTCCCATTTCTTCCCAAGATACTTACGACGAAGGGAGGCCAATGCTTTGAATGAAGATCTTGCGGAAACTACAGCCTGGGGAACCAACAACCTATAGTAAAATTCAACGCCAGAACGCCACAAAACTCAAGCCTGTGTTTTGAACTCAGTATGCCTGATATAACCATGCTCGGTATTACCATCAGCAATACTCTTTCATGGGAAAATCATGTCCGATCCATCGCGATTGTTGCTCCACAAAAACTTTTTATTCCTTGCCAAAATCTACTTTACACCTCAACAGCTTCTCATGATCTACGAAGCACAGAAATGGCCAGTTTTAAAATACTGTTCTTACATATGGTTCAGCACCCAACCATACGCTGATACTCTTAGATTCTATCCAGAGAAGAGCCATTCGCCTGGTGGGTGATGCCACTACTCCTTTGATCTCTTTAGAAAACCCCGTAGGAAAGTCGGCGATCTCTCACTTTTCTATAGATACTTAGGATTACCGACAATTGGACGTGGTCAATTGGACGCACGAAAATTGGACGCGGATAATTGGACGCGGCGACAATTGGACGCGGCGACAATTGAGCGCATGCGAAAATAAAAATAATTTTATAATTCCAATGAAATTTATTGCATGGAATATGCAGGGCTCATATCTATAATATAACAAATACCTAACCTAACCTAACCTAACCTGCTTGTTGCACCGAATGCACCCTTCCTGGGCAGCGATTCTTATTGTAATCAGCACATTTCCAGATTGTTTTTTCTCAAACAATACGCTCCTTTTTGTGTAAGAAACCATCGTATAGTAGCATTGGGTTACCCCTTTCACTTTTCACAAACTCAAGAACCATGTTGACACTAAAGTAGTCTTCTCACTCATGAAAATTGAAATGAACGCGAGATATGAGATAGGAAAATAATTGTCAAACGAGGCCATAGGTATTTGTTATAATTATGGATATAAGCCCATCAGTATTTCATATTTTATACAATGAATTTCATTGGAATTATAAAATTATTTTTATTTACGCATGCGTCCAATTGTCGCCGCGTCGAATTGTCGCCGCGTCGAATTGTCGCCGCGTCTAATTGTCGCCGCGTCCAATTGTCGCCGCGTCCAATTGACTGCGACCAATAGTCGTGCGTCCAATTTTCCACGTTCAATTGACGCGAGACCAGATACTTATTCAGCAGCCAGGTAACCGTACGGACATAGTGTCAGTATTTCTAATCCGCACTCGCTTGCCGATCGTGGGTTCAATTCCCTGCGACTGCAGACATTTTTCTGATGGCCCAAGGAAGTGTTTGGGATCACACGTTGAAAGGTAAGGCCCCCGTCATTCCCTGCTCGCACAAGACTCTCGAAGACTTCTGAGGGTTGCCCGTAAGGGGACAACCGAATGACGGATAAAAGAATTTTAGAACAACAACACAACAACAATCACTAACAATACCAGTCAGACGAACTCTACAGGCCCAGTCAGCACATACTTTAGTTGTCCACCTTGAATTATGTCGAGAAACTCTCAGTGGAAGTATCCTCAAAAACTCATATAACCTCCAGAAGTTTCAAAAAAAATCCAACACCTACTTTCTAATGGCATTGCTCCTTGAATGGAAATGAAAGTGTCAGTATTGGTAGAAATAGAATATAAACCTCGGGTGGTGAGAATGATATTATATTATAGCTCGCATATTATACAGGGTGGTCCGGTTTGTACTACACAAACTTAAACAGTGTGTTATACCTGTTGAAATGATAAAAAAGTTTATACATATTAACATATACTTTTGAATGCGTCGTTTTCGAGATATGGGTGTATCATATGGGAGTATCATTTTTTGATGAAAAAATCGAAACGCATTGAGATGAATCAACAAAATTTCTCACAGATACTAAACTTTTTACGCTTTATAAGATTAAACAGTGAGCATAGCATTCTTGTTTTGATTACAATCAAATATTATTATTGAACTGGAAATTTTACGATATTGCTGAACCGATTTAACTCGGAAACGGCAGATCGCATCAAAAACTCACAAGTGAGCCTTTTCACGAAGGGGCCTATGTTTTTTCAGATTTTGAACTACAAATTGGGAAAAAATGCACGTATAAAATTTAAAAACTTCACAAACGATAAGATTTCCACAAAATATTGTGAAGTTTTTACATTTGCCATGGATTTCCATCAAGTAACGGCTGAGTCAATTAAAAAAAAGGACATGAAAATTGGAGTGATTTTTTTTTCCTTCACTGCCACCAGATTCAGCCGCCACTGAATCACTTTATGAAATAATTTTTATTTCACCCTATAGAACTAGACGAGTTTAGTATCTGTGAGGAATTTTGTTGATTCATCTCACAAACCGTTTCGAACTTTTCATCAAAAAACAATATTCAAACTCGTATTTTCAACACCCTATATCACGAAAACGACGCGTTTAAAAGTATATGTTTATAAAAACTTTTATTATTTCAACGAGTCAAACACACTGTTGAATTTTTTGTAATACAAACCGGACCACCCTGTGTAATAGTTCATTATCACCTTAGGTGTTTTAAAAAATATTGTTTTTTTGATGTCTCTTTTTACTTTTGTATTGAATTGTCAAACCTACGAAAAGCGCTGAACGGACATGATACTTTTTTTCTTATAATTGTCAGTTTGATCTGGCAATTAGCTATAATTGCCAGTTTGAACTGGCAATTAGCTATAATTGCCAGTTTGAACTGGCAATTAGCCATAATTGCCAGTTTGATCTGGCAATTAGCTATAATTGCCAGTTTGAACTGGCATTTAGCCATAATTGCCAGTTTGAACTGGCATTTAGCCATAATTGCCAGTTTGAACTGGCATTTAGCTATAATTGCCAGTTTGAACTGGCAATTAGCCATAATTGGTAGTTTGAACTGGCATTTAAGCATAATTGCCAGTTTGAACTGGCATTTAGTGCTTTCGTACGAAAGTACCCCGCAAATGTAATGTCACAGTTCAAGCAATGACAGCTCTGTCAATAGATGCGCATTACTTGAGAGGAAATCAGATGGCTAGAAGACGAAGAAATCAAAAATGTCGCTGTTATCTGTCACAGCCGTAGAAAAATTATGGTGTATAACTCGCAGGGAATGCTAATTTCCCACTCGAATGATTGCAGCATTATTCGCCTACGGCTCAGGCTGCAAATTTCATTCTCGGGGAAAATCACTATCATTCCGTCCTCAGTCCACTCGCCCTTTGCGTTGGTAGAAATAATCGATCGCGTTTTTTGGCATCACTAGATGGCGATAACATGACTAGATCCTTTCGTACGGAAGCGCTAAATGCCAGTTCAAACTGGCAATTATAGCTAAATGCCAGTTCAAACTGGCAATTATGGCTAATTGCCAGTTCAAACTGGCAATTATGGCTAATTGCCAGATCAAACTGGCAATTATGGCTAATTGCCAGATCAAACTGGCAATTATGGCTAATTGCCAGTTCAAACTGGCAATTATAGCTAAATGCCAGTTCAAACTGGCAATTATGGCTAATTGCCAGATCAAACTGGCAATTATGGCTAATTGCCAGTTCAAACTGGCAATTATAGGTAAATGCCAGTTCAAACTGGCAATTATAAAAAAAAAAGTATCATGTCCGTTCAGCGCTTTCGTACAAACCTTTGTTGGAAATGAATGAAATTATTTGAGTTTTCTTTTGCAATAATTTATTATTATTTCCTTGCAGTTGTTGGAGAGTGAGATAGAAAAAGAAGAGATGGGGGATGTGCCCAGATGGCATCCAGAAAGCAAGTTATTTTATAAGAGAGAAGCACCCGCTTCCAAGGCTCCTGAACATTGAAAGGACGACCAAAGACGAAACATGACGAAACTATGCAGCAATGAAAACGGACACGAATTTATGGAATTGTAAATAGTTATTGAATTGATATTTTGACAATTTTAATTTGATGTTGTAATTTACATGGAGAATGAGAAGTTTGACAAACTGAAAAACGCAATTATTGATGAATACTTCTATACCTGTACTCTATAGCATGTGATTACATGTATATAGTATTCAATTGAAGTATCAATATACAGAGTACACTATTATTGTAGTTAATACATTCCTACTTAGAGATATTTTTGAATGTAAAAGTATATATAAATATAAACAGCGTGAAGTACATATGTTATGAATATGAAACTATACTTAAATATTGTTATTTGATTGGTATATCACAATACTATAGGTATTAGGATAGAAAAAGGGGAAAATAACAAATATATAACAATATGTGTCTTAATTTGATATCAGCTACTCTGTATATTGCTTTAAAACTATACAAAATATAGAAAAAATCGAAAATATATTATACTTTGTATAATAAGTTCAATGAGAATGAAAATCCTTGTATCCTCTTCATTCCTTCATCTGCAAATACCAGTGGATGTTTAGTGTTCGCTTAGACACCCAGAATCTATCTTAATCTTAACCGTCCCTGATTTGTTTTCAGTTTGTCAAAACTATTTAGGACAATAATTCCACATGATTAAATAATTGTTATAAAAAGCAATATTTTGAAAAAAGAAAAATTATAAATGTGATTTGCAATAATCGTGTGTCTTATGATAAATAAATATGCATGAGAATAAAATCTATTTGAGTAAATAGTTTTTCACAATCATTTTGGCATACGGATCGTGTTTTTCGACTATTCGTTAATTTTCAAGCATGCCATCACATTGTGCTGTTGTACAATGCACAGAAAATGCAGCGAGAGACGAAGGAATCCGATTTTCCAGGTAGGTACATTGTGATCTAAAAGTAGGTACTATAGTCCCCTCGATAGTCAACTCACATTTAGTTTTCATTTTGAAATGTTGTTATTTCTCATTGGAATTCCTTCTGCAATAGGAGCTTATAAAAATACTCGTGGAGTTTATAAAAGAAGGCATTAGTAGAAAATGGCTGATTCGTGTTCAGATATTTCAAGTGAAATCGAGGAAGAAGCGCAAAAAAATGACTATTCCCTTCATCCATTCAGATTTTTAATTCGTAACTGGTGTTGAAATGAACATTTCATCACCTGTTTTGAAATATTTTTCTTTTCGTAACTGATGGTGACTTGAAGTAGGACCTTTCAATACTTCCGTCAGTCTTAAAAAAATTGAGCATGTACCTCAAGGATCTATCTTGGGACCGTTGCTGTTCATTATATGTATATATATATTAATGATCTACCCACATATATTGACATAGCTGATACCTTTTTGTATGGAGATGACGCAACATTTGTAATGAGTAACAAAGATAATGATAAATTAAATGAGATATATGTCATTAGCGACAATGGCTAAAGGTGAACAAAACTTCAATGCAAATGTGTTGTGTGTAAATACAAATAAAACTGAAGGAATATCATTCACTAAAAGAACCGAAATTGCAGAGGATGAAGCCAGTAAAATACAATATGGAATACTTCTGTGGGGAGCATCAATAACTGCTGCATCTGAGATCTTTATAATAAAAAAAATTAGGGATACGGTTGAAGCAGATCCCAGAGAACATGCAAAACCGTTTTTTTCATTGAATTCGAAATTCTCACAATAGCTAGTATGTACATAATAGAAGCGATCATATTTGTACATACTAACAAACATAAGTATAATACTGGATCAATTAACCAAAAGTGAACTCGATGAAAACTGCTTGATAAACAGAATTTTATTACTGTAAGATATATAAGACTCTACCACTATCATGGACCGAGTTAACTCTGAAAAAATTGAAGTGGTATGTTAAAAGGGCACTTGTGAGTCAGGCCTTTTATTCCATATCCGAAGTTTTCAATTTCATATGGACTGATGACCACATCAGTGGAGAAATATAATAAAAGTATGTATACGGTGGGTCCTTAAGGTGCCGGATATCGGCCTTGCATGATTTGACAACCCTGTTCGCCGGTCGCAATAGCTACCACAGTATAGTATCCTTTCAAGGATAATATACTGTGGTAATACTTAGGATGTATATTATTTTTCATGTTAGAAAATCAAGAGCCGAAATATATTATCAATTAACAATCATATCATATACAGTGTGTCCACCTTAAGGACTTACCACCCCTGTAAAATCGTTATTATCCGACCAATTTCAAAAAACCTTTTTTTGTTGGATAGGTATTTGAAATGCCCATCCAACGAGAGAGTGATCTAATTCTTGGACTGTTATCGTGGCCAACTGCGACAAATTTCAATGACCCATATTCCAGAAAGTACTATTAGGGATTTTTTTCAACGAAACTTGATGATGGATTCTGAATCAGTACCACTTGAAATTTACCTGTACCGATTTTCATCATCATAAAACACAGGGTGTTCGAAAAACCGAAACATCATTTTCTTCAAATAGGTGATCAGCAAATGTAGTTCTGTGGTTTTTCTAGAAAGAAATAATCACAAATTATCATTGAGGATTATTTCAGATATACCTGTACCAATTTTTGTCATTTGAATATACAATATGTGTCTGAGAAAAAAATTAAAAAGGATAGGTAAGCAATATTTTTCATCCTGATAATTCTTCACTCAAAATAAAAAGATGAATCAGGATCACTTGGAACATTCCTGTACCGATTTTCATCATTATCAAACACAGGGTGTTCGAAATATCAAATTAATGTTTTTCTTGAGTTGATGATAAAATATTGCCTACTTTTCCTTTTCAATTGTTTTCTCATACACATCGTATTTTTGTGATCCTCAATAATGTGTCATCAATTCTTCTCAAAAATACCACAATACTACATTTTCTGATCACCTATTAAAAAAAAACAATAATTCGTTTTTTCGGACACCCTGTGTTTTATGATGATAAAAATCAGTAAAGGTGTTTTTCAAGTGATCGTGATTGAGAATCCATCATTGTTTTTTTTGAAAAAAAATCCCTAATAGTACTTTCTCAAATATGGGTCAATAAAGTTGGTCGCAGTTGGCCACGATTACAGTTCATGAGTTAAATCACTCTCTTGTTGGATGGACATTTCAAATACCTATTCAACAAAAGAAAGTTTCTTGAAATCGGTCAGATAATAACAATTCTACAGGGGTGGTAAGTCCTTAAGGTGGACACACTGTATATATACGACTGTTAAGTAAAGTTAAGTGTCGTGAATTGTGTGATTATATTGATTATAATATAGTTTTTTCTACTCATTGGATTGTAGAATAACATTTGAAATCTTAATTTGTGTGTAAATATGCTTGTTTTTCATATGAATAATGTATTTTAATAATTATGATTTTATAAATTACAAATAACACTGTAGCTAAGGTACTGTTTGTGTACTGTTTGTGACTTGTCTAAACATGTTTTGTTGATTATGTTAAACGTAATTAGCTGAATATTGTATTTTTTTGAGGCCAATAGATATCTTATCTCAATAAAGTGTCAAATAACATGTCAAAATTAAAAAAAGTTAACTGCCTTCTAAAAATGATTTATACAGGGTGGTCCTTAAGTAGGTGTACATAAAGGTGTAGCAGCAAAGATTGTAGCAGGTTCTTAACTTCAAAGTAATTCGATATGAGCCAACATACTTTGTCAAAATATTGCTAATAGGGGAAATACAGGGTGATCGAGGAAGTTAAATTTATATAATTTAGTTTTCGCAATAACTCCGTAATTTTCGAAACAAGAGGTTTTTGGGCATGTGAAATCATAATATACTGTCTAGTTCAATGTATTTTTTAGAAGGCGTCACATAAGCCACTTTTGGGACATATTGTGTGCGCAATTGGCTTTTTCGGTCTTCAAGTTAGCGCCCTATTTTTAATATAGAAGACACGTCATGTTAACAAATGGTAATAGAATATTCCTAATATGGTCTCATAAAAAAATATCTCTTTCCATTTCAATAAGAATGCACGGAACTGTCCAAAATGATATTCGTCTCCGAAAAACTAATCATATGATGGTTATTCACACCATCACACCGGTCAAAATTTGGTAAGAATCGCACGACTAATAATAATATAAAAGTGAGACACGCTGTAGACGCCCACTACGTTGATACTGACCGTGATGAATTGAATGACAATTATGGAACTGATTGCTTTTATCTCCAGAACTATCAAGTTTCGAGAATAATAACAGGTTTTACGTATTTTTGTTAAAATAATGTATCTTTAATACAGGGTGTTTCATAATTGAATGTCAATATTTGAGGAGGCGATTCTCGGGCCAATTCTAAGAATGAAGTTTCATATGAACGTATGACCTAAACGTCCTAACTTTTGAGATACAGGGTGGTAAAGTTCTCAAAAATTAATAGTTTTTTATCAATATCTGTAATACTACTTCAGATATTCTAATGAAATTTGGCATACATGTACTATGTATCAAGAGGCATCAGTAAGTGTACCACATTTTTGTTGGTTGCCACCAGTGGCGTTCGTATGGAATTTCACATACCTATTTTGGCAGACATTGATGGTACGCCACTGATTAATCTCGAAATTGAAATCTTTAATGAAATTCCCAATCGTTTCTTAGCAAACTTGATCACTACAATTCTTTCGATCTGATGCACGGTTTTCGCTTAAAAAAATAAAAAGCTTTTCACTACATGATTATAACAATATCGTTAATATGACAATATCACAATGCAGAGGAATAGATTTGATTTTTTAGATCAATTTCCAGAGATACAATTCATCGTTTATGAACTTCCTATTCGTATTTGGTATTTTGGAATTATTTCTTTTCATTGTAGTAGGCTATATTAATTTTTGAGAACTTTACCATCCTGTATCTCAAACGTTAGGACGTTTAGGTCATACGTTCATATGAAATTTTCTTCTTAGAAGGGGCCCGAGAATCGCCTCTTCAAATATTGACATTCAATTAGGAAACACCCTGTATATTCCAATTAAAATGGCGCTAAACTAAATAAAAACCAAGTAGAGTGTGCATTTAAGCGTGAAACGTGGCTTATGTATAGCGCCATCTAGAAAATACATTGAAGTAGGTACCAAATTATGATATTTCATGTACTCATCAGAAACTTCCAATTCCGAAATTTGTATAAAATATATTTATATTCAAGAACAACCTGTACCTGTCTTCTTATTAACAAGATTTTATCAAGATCAAGGACAAGTTAGCCAAATACCTACCTCACCTCATTGTATAATCACTCAAGGACCATCGTGTATATGAATGTGGATGATATGAGATATGAAATGAATTATCATCAAATTGTTTGTTTCGGGAGTGGGGGGTATTAAACATCGATAATCTTTCTTTGCCTCTGTATCCTAAAACTCCTGGATTATAAAATTAGGATAATAGTATTATCATTTCGAGATAATGAGACAAGTTGTCTACCTAGATGCTTTAAGAGGGGATAGATAATGCTGTTAGAACATCCATTAAGCATTATTATTGTTGTAACAAATTCCAAAGTGATATGGTGAATGACTTTTGAATTAAAATATATTTGGAAAAACTCACAAGTCTCAACAAAAATGTTTATGGTGAGTAATTAATGTTTTATTTAATACTTTTTGTAATAAAAATGAGATCTATCTGTCTGACTCTAGAAGCAACGTTTATTCAATGACATCCTCAGTCACAATGACAATACA